TTTCCCGAGTTTCCTCTGGATTTGAGAGTCAAATAAACCTCACTTAACCTCATTCAAACCTTCCTGATCTGGACTTGTGAAACCAGGTCTGGCTTCTCATCTTGGCTTCATTTCTTTGGGAGTTCAACTCCAGAAATGAAAAAACCCAGGGCTCCTAAGACCCACACATGGATTCCTCCAAGGTCGGGCAGAAAGTGGAATGGATCTAAATAAACTCACTGCATCAGGGTACAACCATGAAGTTTATTTTACATTTATTTTGAAACCATAAATCACAAATTTCAAATACTTGGATTAGCTTTTCCTGAAAACACAGCTTCATTTGTTTAAATAACATAGACCAATATAATAACAGTTTTGTAAAATACTATTGATCCACAGATGGACAATAAATCCATGCACATTGTCCAGGTTATGCATAGATCAGACACCCAGAGGGTTTTAGATGTGCAGTACCTCCCAAGAAGGAGGAACCCAAGGGTGGGGAGAACTCTGAGAATCCCTTACAGAGTGACCACAGCGGAAGGAGAAAGGGAAGGAGGGACATTGACAGAGTTTACCAAGCTCATTCCAGAGTTCTCAGGCCAGGGACACTTACCGTAGGAGACCTGCCTTCTGACAAAGGACATATTTTAGTGCCCCTGCCACACTCCTTAGCTGAGAACAGAACACAAGAATTGAAATACAGCAGGTGGCTGGACCTTTCATTCCCTGCAGTCAGAGATACGAAACACTCTCGATGCCACAGACGGAGAGATGGATGGTGGATGCCAACATAGGTAGATGGTAGGCAGGCAGGTAGGATTAGAAAGGACAAATTTATAATACTCATTTATCTGGAAGGGATTGTGAGCCATGCATGGAGGTTTCTTTAGCATTTTTGTTTCTTAAAATTTCTTCACTTTTGTGTGTATACCTAAGCAAATCTGGTTTAAGATTTCTTCAAATATTCCTTTTCAAAGTAACTTCAAAGTAACTCCTTTCTTCATTTCATATTAGGAGATACACATCACAATATGCATTGTGTGTGTGTGTGTGTGTGTGTGTGTTTGTGTGTGTGTGTGTGGGGGGGGTCCTTGCTCAGGCAAATTTGCACTGAGCTTTCTGATTCTTTTTCAACTTTTCCATTTTCTCCTTCTCCCAGAAAATGCACTAGAAACTTCTCTTTGGGAAAGGAAGCAAGTTTTTTTTTTTTTTTTTTTTTTTTTTTTTTTTTTTTTTACAATCTGTCCACATTCCTTATCTAACCAAGCTTATCAGCCACTGGCTGCTTATGGCATTAAAAGTCAAACACTGATCCATTTGGAGGGGATACACCACCGCTTAGGACCTTATAAGATTCAAAATAAATTATTGGTGCTCTAAGAGATTTATAAATCAAGAATGCTAGTCTATCATACAAGTTAATTTCATTTTTGAGGACATTTTGGTTACGGAAACTGTATCAGGTATACCTCTCTGACAAACATACAAATTCAAGTCCACCGGGACACCTAGAACATGACCTTATTTGAAAACAGTGTATTTGCACCGTGATTAGTTAAGACGAGCTCACATTGGACCAAGGTGGACCCTAATCTAATGACGGGTGTCCTGTTGAAATGACCAGGTGCCCAGAGGAGACACACAGAGGAAGCCATATGAAGAGGTGACAGAGCCTGGAGCCATGTGTCCATAAGACAAGGAACACTGAGGATCGCCTAAAAACACTAGGGACAAGGAGGGGACAAGGAGGAATCCCCCCTTCACACTTTCCCAGGGAGCATGACCCTGGCCCATCTTGATAGCCAGGATATCCAGTCTCCAGAGCACTGAGAGAATAAACTCCCACTCCTCCAAGCACCTAGCTTGCAGCACTTTATTCTTAGAGCTTTGGGAAAATACACAGAAATCAGGGTCCCAAGCTACATGGCGAAGGGCATGTGAACTTGTGATTCTAGGGTCATTGTGCACCCTTCTTGTGTCCCTGGCAGCAAAGTCCACTGGCAACGGGGCACTCTAAAGGACAGTTTGTAGCTCTTGAGCTCCTTTGAGGAATGACCCTCTTTGCCAACATTCCAAAGCCAAGAGTCATGTTCTAGGAATTTTGATCTCTGTAGAAAATGTACAAATAGTATGCATGGTGACTTCAGGTCCCCCCAAAAGCTAGGATGTCCATTCCTACTCATCAGTTGCTTCTACTTTCTCAGTAGAGGAAACCCCTCTAATAAATGCAAGGCCCTGCTTAGAGGAGAGAGCAAATGAGATGCACTGGGGCTTTGTTTTCAGTGTATTCCGATAGTTTATGATTATGCACACAACAAGAAACCAACCTAAAGACAGCTTTGCAGATGAGGCATCATTTACTGTCTGTCTCTCTCTGTGGGAAATTAGCCATTTCTTATCATAAGGGGAGACACCAGGTATAGTGCAGGCCTTGCAGGGTGGGGCAAGTCTTGGAAGTAGGCTTTGGAGGGAATGACTGCAGCTGCCTACAGACTACAGACCAAGGGGCCAGATTCTGCCACCCAGGGATCAATGTCTGCACAAAATGGCATGCATTTCTGGTAATTCCCAAACCCCAAAGCTGCCAGTCATGCTGAAGAATGGAGGGTCTTAATAAGGAAGACGGAACTGGAACAGTAGGCTCCGGCCTGGGGAACCTTGGTAGGGTGCAGAGGAGAGGAACCACATCCAGAAATAAGAGGAGAGCCAAGTGTGAAGGCAGGTGTGGGTGTCCCCTGCAAGACTCACTTTGAAATTTAATTGCCTTGTGAGAGTGTTGAGAGGGTGAACCTTTATGAGGTGAGTAAATGAATTAACTAGACTAATGTCAGTATCACAGGTTGGGTTATCTCCAGAGTGAGTTTGTGAGAAATTCAGGTTCCTCTTGCCTTCTCTGTCTGGCTCAGGTGTGCTTGTCTTCCCTTTCTGTCATGTTCTATGAATCAGAAAGGCCCCTCACCAGATGCTGGCACCATGCTCTTGGACTTACCAGCCTCCAGAATCGTGAGCCAAATAAATGTCTATTGTTCATCAATTACCCAGTCTGTGATATTCTCTTATGCAGCAGAAAATGGGCTCAGACAGGGAGGGGATGAATGGGAAATAGACCCAGTCGTTCCCAGAGAGTCCCAGTGGTCCTTCTGTGATTCAGAATATACTTACAGTGACTGTTTCCTTGAGATTTATCTTCTGTCCCCTGCTCTGATTTTTTTTTTTCATTTGTCCTGCTACGTGCAGATGATGGCAAATGTGTGTATGCTGTGGTTTAGCAGGATTCCCAGGGACTGATATTCTCAAAGATCTTTGTTTTCTGCAGCTATCTTGCTTCATCTGTTTTATAGGTCTCATTACCTGAATGTCTGCTGCCACTTTACAGAAGCTTGGTCTAAGTTCTGGGCTGCAAAGTGATAAGTACATCCCTGTAATTCCAAAATAAATGTGAAAATAAGTAGAGCCACAATAGGGAGATTAAGAGTGTGTCTCACGTAGACCACAGTGGTTTGGAGAAGTCATGGAGATGACATATGGACACTACTCAATAGGGCCAGGTTCCGATAAACCCACTGTTAAGTAGAAAATTCACAAATTGAAAATGCACTTAAAACACCTAACCCCCTAAGCATCTCAGCTGAGCAACACAGCTAACTGGGAGCTGCATTGCTGCTGCCCAGCCTCATGAGAGAGTATATCTGCGGATCATGAGCCTGGGAAAAGTTCCAAATTCAAAGTACAGCTTCAACTGAATGCATATCTCTTTCACACCACCATAAAGTTGAAAAAAAAATTGTAAGTCAAATCATCCTAAGTCAGGGACCATCTGTATATGAAGAGTGTAGTAGGTTGGTTCAGTTGGGAAAGAGAAACCACACAGTAGATTGGAGAGAAAATCTTTATGTAAAATGTATTAACTATGATAAGTTCATAATTAATAGATGTATGGGAACTATGGTCCCAAGGGCTAAGGGAGGGCATCCCAGGAACAAGACACCAGGATGGGATTCAGATCCTACTGGGAAAGGTGTGTATCTGGACGCTAGAAGGCAGAGGAGGTGGGTTAGCAGACTGGAGCTGGTCTAGAGTTGCTGGGCAAGTGGAAGAGCATCTTCTGGAAGGCAGGCAGGGTCCCAGCTCAGCCATCCCTGATGCAGTGGAAGCCTGGGCTACGGGGCCCTCAGGAGGAGCTAGCCGCAGGCAGGGGAACGAGCCATGACTACACAGGGAGAACTACTACTTCGGACCCCAAGGGCACAGACATGCTCTACCTGGGCCATGCTGGGGCTTTCTGTTGGCAGATTATCACACGAACCTGAAGCTGCAGGGTTGCAAAGGGATCCCTTTCAGGAATCATGGCAAAGCCAGGCTCCACCAGAAATCCTTTCCCTCCACATGACTGTCTCGGGAGGATCCCAAGAGAACTTGATCCTTCCGTGTCCCTTCTGCTCCATCTCTTAAGAGAGCTCAACCTAGTGCTCACTTTAAAGGAGAAATGTTTAAAGAGCAGACATGAAAATAATCTGATCTATGTATACAGTGCAGAATGATCAAATCCGGGTAATTAGCATATTTATTTTTTGGATACTAGGGGTTGAACCCAGAGGCACCTAATCAGTGTTCCACATTTCTAGCACTTTTTAATTTTTTTTTTCAATTTTGAGACAGGATGTCCCTGAGTTACTTCAGTCCTCACTCAGTTGCTGAGGCTGGCTTTGAACTCGCGATCCTCTTGCCTCAGCCTCCCTGGCCACTGGGATTACAGGCGTGTACCACCACACCCAGCTAGTGTATCGATTTCAAGCATGTGCTTGGTCACAAGCGACCAGTATTATGCTTTCTCTTTGTGAGTGTGAATGCATTTAAACTACTTGGAATATATTTAAAAGTTAGGTAGCCATGTTAGTATTTGTTGTGGAATCTATTGTTGTATATGATTTAACTAACCACAAAGTTGAGAAAAGGTGTGTGGAAATTTTCTAATTCCTGTTTATCATCTTTGTTTCATTTTTCTTTTTGTCTAGGTCCTATACAATATATTAATCGCCTTCACAAAGATGCATAAATTCGAAGACATAGAACCTGTCGACATTTTGGCTGGATGTGCCCGATTCATCATTGTGGGGTGTGGGGGAGTATTTTTTGGCGTCATTTTTGGATTTATTTCTGCGTTTATCACACGTTTCACTCAGAATATCTCTGCAATCGAGCCGCTCATCGTCTTCATGTTCAGCTATCTGTCTTACTTAGCTGCAGAAACACTCTATCTCTCTGGCATCCTGGCGTGAGTACAATCCAAGTCCTGAGTCTCCTAGTCCAACAGAGAAAGTTTAGGACCACAGAGGGTGAACCAAGCATCGGGGAAAGGCGTGACTTTGGATATTACTCCCCAAAGGTCTTGCAAGATGTAGGATATTTAAAAAAAAAAAAAAAAAACTTTGTAAGATCTGATTCAGGTCTTTTGCCAAACAAACATTCTCTCCGACATTTGCATTTGTTCCCTCCATTTGCTTGAGGAGAGCAATTATCATACCAATTTAGGACTCACAGAAAAGCTGGTACAGAGAAAAGCTAGGGGAGAGTTCAAGGTTAAAATCCATCTTTGTAGTTTTTAAGATTTTCTTTGAAAAATTAGTTATAAAGTAGAAGGGAGCCATGCCACAAAGAGTTCCCATTCCTGGGCTCTGCTCTCTGTGGTGCCCTTCAAATCACATCAGAGCTCCATGACACTTCAGCCTGGAATGACACCATGCAGATGGGAGAGGACTGGAAATACAGATTTCTTTGTTCTGATGAAGACATGTTTGAGATGTTTGTCCTCGTGTTCCTTGTAAACTTGATATGTTTTTCTGAGACTGAGTCTTCTCAATTTGGCTCACTCTAATTGATCATGTGTTTTTCTCTATGACTTTGTCCTCCTCTCTAACTCTTCCGGCAGAGCTATTTAATTCTATTGTGTAGGGAGACCTATAAAGATCACAGTGTAGGTGCTAAGTATTTATCCTTTCCCCACTCTCAAAATGACAAAACCCATCAAGACAAGGCAAAGTTCCTTCATTTCCCCAGACTCTCTAAATGGCTGCAGAACAGAAGCATTCGAAAGGAAAGATTTGTCATGAAATGATTGTAAGCCATTTGCTTGAGTGTAAGAAATCAGGGCCTCCCCGAGTTATTCTGTCTATCCAACTTAAGTGGGATTTATTTTGGTTTAAGGCAGAGTAAAGCAGACAGTGAAGGTTGGGACCGACAAAGCTCTCAAGGAGGGTAGGAAGGGAGAACCCTTCTGCTTCTTGTTCTCTGGCATGAGTTTCCCTCCATTTTGTTCTGTGAAAGCCACGCCGTACCCACTTTCTCTACCACATTCACTTTCCCTTGTATTGCCCCCCACCTCCCCGTTCCAGAGGGGAGAGAGAGAAAATGTGTGCAAGATGGATAGGCAGAGAAAGGGAGCAGAGGGGTTGCCTTTTCTGGGTACAGACTTGCTTCAAGGATCTGTAGCTTTGCCAGTGGGGAGGATATTTTGTGGAGAAGTAAAACTTGTTGCGTCTCTGTGAGACTCTGCTCCCTTTGTAGAATCACAGCCTGCGCGGTGACAATGAAGAAGTATGTGGAAGAAAACGTGTCCCAGACGTCCTACACGACCATCAAGTATTTCATGAAGATGCTGAGCAGCGTCAGCGAGACCTTGATCTTCATCTTCATGGGCGTGTCCACCATTGGGAAGAACCATGAGTGGAACTGGGCCTTCATCTGCTTCACTCTGGTTTTCTGCCAGATCTGGCGAGCCATCAGTAAGAAAGAGCAGGGCCCCAAAGACTCCTACCCAGCTTGTGGGTTTTTCTTTTTTAGTTCTCTTTATTCCCTTCTGCCATATAAAACCATAAGCAGGGAGTTGGTGCTACCTGGTTTTATTGTTAGAGGAGGGTTGGCACCTGGTAGTGACCAAGAATGTTTTAGGTTGGTTCCCTCCATCAGCTCAAAGTTATGAGTGGCTGGAAGATAAGGTTCTGCACTGAAGCTGGGAGGAAGCAGAGAATATTTTCTCTTTTCATTGAAGACTGAACTTTTACATCTACACATTTAAATATAGCTCAGTAAATGTATCCCTTGCACTTCACTTCTTTGCCAATTTTTACCCTCTTGCACCTTAAATCAGATATAGATTACAAACTGTGGGTATTTACACATTTGTTACAGGATAAGTGAGAACTTCAAAATTGTGTAAGGCAAATACACTTACATATCCCTCTAAATAGCACAGTTAGTTTGAGGGTTTAGTGCATGGGTATCTAGCAAAGAAAGGGCCAGGAAGTGAATTCTTATTTTAAAAAGAACTCAATATGAATTAGTAAGGACAACTATAAATTAAATGATCTCCCCCTTGTAAAGCGTGCATAATTTTTGAAATTGAGATTCAATGATTGCTGATTTATCTTGAACATTTATGTTTCAGGAACCAGAAAAAAAAATACATTAGGCACTGAGCTACAATATATGTGTTTCTATTTGATTAGAAACATTATATTTTCTAATGACTTCAACTAATCTTTTAAAATCAATTACTCAGAGAAATTAGGAGAAGTGGTTGAGAACTTACATTGAATGTATCAATTTCAAATTAATTTAGGATGGCTTTTAGGATCTAGGAAAGAATAATAAGAAGGCAGAAATATTAAAATATTCATAAGGACAGTGGAATATGTATGCCTACTGGGTCCCTGGTGGAAAAACAATTAAAGAAACGTTGGTATACATTCAAATCTGAAATCAGATCCCATCATGGTTATTCACAAGTCATTTGAACTTGGCAGACATTTATCTATTCAAAGATCTTCCTCCACCACCCAAAATTTTAGATGTCTTTCAAGTTCCAATATTGTATAAATCTTCAGGGAAGTGGAACTAATATCAAAAGAAATAACATTAGAGAGCTTCATCCCAACCAACAAGAAGATTAATGTTGTGGCTATATCAACCTTGTTTACCCTTAGTGACCATCTAGCCCAACTCCATGATCTTATAATTGAGAGAAGTGATGGGGCCGCCATTGATGGAGGGGCCGATTGACCGCATTCCCGTGATTGATGGAGCAGGCGTCAGAATCCAGTTCTCCTACTCACTGCTCATTCTCTTTCCATCCTGACTCATTATTGCTAATAATAATCATGATGAGAGTTTATAAGGCTCTTGAAGGCTTGGAAATGCAAGGCCTCATTTTATGTGATTTATGGATATTACGTTTATTTAATGGTTTTGCCCGACTTCTGAGGTAAATCTACTTGGCTCTCTGTATCCTTGCGTTCTGCATCCATGGATTCTACCAATCACAGATCAATCACAGTAGAAAAGGAAAACCTTCCTGTACCCAACATGTGCAGACTTTTTTTCCTAATCCCTAAAAAATATAGCATAACATCTATTGATATAGCACTGATGTTTTGTTAGGCATTATAAATGATCGAGAGATGATTCCAAGTACCCAGGAGAGTGTGCCTCGTTTCCATCCGAGTGCCATTCCATTTTATATGAGGGACTTGAGTATCCAGGGAGTTTGGTCTCTGTGGGGGGCCCAGAACCAAGGGATGGCTCCCATCTCTATTATGCAGATGAAGATTCTGGGCTTGAAATGAGGAATAACCTTGCTCAGGTTCACCTGACTGGCATATAGAGAAGCCAGTGCAAACAAAACAAAAGGAAACCTTTGAATTCTTCTGTCTTTTATATTAACCCTGTTAACAGAGGCTGTAAAGCCTGTGTGGTTGGAGGTCCATGAGTATGTGGGGAGATTCATTCCACTGAAATAAAACCTCTTCTTCCATTAGCGACAGCTTTCGGGGAAGGAACCTTTTCCACCAGGAACCAGCACATTGGAGGTGGCTCAGTCCTGTGGGACACGTTGGGAGGCAGAATTAGTGTCGTAGAAAACACTTTTTATGTCCAGACCCGTTGCCCTAACTTCCAACTTCAGCTTAAGAAATTCTGGCAAAAGAGTTCCCAGCCCAAGCCCTTGGGAGCCCCCTCACTTGTTGTATTGAACCCCAAAATGAGCAGAGCCAACCAGAAAACATTGGCTCAGCTTTGGAGGTCACAGTTACTAGAAAGCAGAGAACTCTCCTCACCCTGAAATCCCAGACCTCTTTTGGGAAGCCAGTGAGAATATGAGATCAACATTTTTTTTTTCCAAATAATATCCTTGCTTTAACTAATTTTGAAAGGCAGAGAAATCATTATGAATATAGCTTAAAAATATCCCCTTAGACACACACAAAAATCGAGGTTCTATTATTTTATTATTTTATTTTGGGGGTGACCAAGGATTGAACACAGGGGCGCTTGATCACTGAGCCACATCCCCAGCCCTGTTTTGTATTAATCTAGAGATTGGGTCTCCAATGTGTTGTGTAGCACCTCGCTTTTGCAAAGGTTGCCTTTGAACTTGCGATCCTCCTTTCTCAGCCTGCTGAGCCACGGGGATTACCAGTGTGCACCACTCTGCCCAGCAAGGTTCTGTTATTTTAAACACACATGTGCAAACTACACATGGCAGGAAGCCACCAGCGAAGACTTGCAAGCTGAGGCACTGTGGTCTCCCCAGCCAGCAAGGGAAGGGCCGTCAGAGGGTTCTCTTTGGGAAGGGCGCTCCTGGGTGTGCTGGAATCGGGTGGCCTTGCTGGAGGGCAGGCAGGGAGACCTCAGCTTCAGCCCTCCAGCCTTTGATCTCCACCCATTGGTGGCCCCTGCTCTAATCTGTGTCTCCCCCTTTCTAGGCGTGTTTGCCCTCTTCTATGTCAGTAACCAGTTTCGGACTTTCCCCTTCTCCATCAAGGACCAGTGCATCATTTTCTACAGTGGTGTTCGAGGAGCTGGAAGTTTTTCACTCGCATTTCTGCTTCCTCTGTCTCTTTTTCCCAGGAAGAAATTATTTGTCACGGCTACACTGGTAGTTATATATTTCACTGCATTCATTCAGGTTGGTGGATTTCCTCAATGTTTCATGTAAATAGATCTCTTCAGGACTGTGTATCTAATTCTAAAAAGGCAAACACAGGAAACTCATCTGATTAGATTTCTGTTCCATACCCAAACAAAATTCCCAAAAATGTCTAGGTCATCTTCATGATCGGTCACTAACTTCTAAAATGTGATGCTTTTTGATGAAAGCAACACATTGATAAAATATCCTGGGATCACAAGTGAATAACTATGCTACTATACATCTCAAAAATGAGACTCCAATTATTACCAGATAGCAAAAGTTTTTCTTTCAGTTGCGCATTAGCTCTTAACAAACTAATGAAATGTTATTTTCAGGGATGAAATCAAGTTCTTTATAAAAATACAGATAGTATGATTTTTATTACAGCCCTTAAAAGAATTAAGAACAAAAGTAAACATAGAAGCATATATTCAAGAAAAGCTAGAAACAAACATGTACCAATTAGTCATTGTAATAATTTTCATAATAAGTATGTTCTCTGTAGTGGTGATTTTCATCTCAGCACAACCCTTTATTTCATTGTTTATGATCTAGGGCATCACAATTGGCCCTCTGGTCAGATACCTGGATGTCAGAAAGACCAATAAAAAAGAATCCATCAACGAAGAGCTTCATATCCGTGTAAGTTATCTTTTTTTATCATAATTAATGAGTTCATAAGATGTTGCCCATTTGTCACCTATGAGAATGTTCTAGAGACTTGGGTACATGTCACTAGACTTGTAGCCTCTTTCCTCCCTACCTCCACTAAAAGTGATCATGCTAGTTTCCTAGTTTTGCTGCTGTAGGGAATTAACAAAAGTTTATGGCTTTAAACACCACAGATGTGTTATCTTGGAGTTCTGGAGGTAGGCATTGAAAAGGGTCACAATCAAGGTGTGGCCCATTGATTAGTCAATTCGATTCCTTAGAAGAACTATTATTGATACCTTTCTGGAAGCTCTAGGTAAGAATCTGTTTTCCTGCATCCTCCAGCTTCTAGAGGCTGCCCGTGTTCCTTGGCTGGGTCCCTTCCATCCAGAAAGCCAGGAATGACTGACAGGTCTCTCTCATGTCACACCACTGTGGCTCTTCTGCCTTCCTCTTCCACACCGAAGGACCATTGTGATTGCGTTGGGCCCACATGGATGATCCTAGATGTTCTCTCTGTCTTAAAGTCAGTGGGCTAGTTACCTTAAGTCCGTTGGTTATCTGAGTTCTCCTTTGCATATAAACCAACATATTCACAGGTCTCAAAGATTAGGATGTAAACTTCTTTGGGAGACCATTATTCTGCCCACTACACTCTGCTCTCTTGTCTCTCCAAGATTTATATTTGTTCCACCTGCAAAATATATTCAATCTATCCTAGTATCATGGAAATCTAAATCCACTACAGCATCAACTCCAAGTCCATATCTCATCTAAATTTCATCAGTTCAAATGTCCCAGATATCATCATCTCGATCATCTACATCAGGGACTCTTGGTCGAATCCATTGTAAGGCACAGTTTCACTTCTCATCCTATAAAAGTCAGGAAACTAGTTATCTGTTTCCTAATTATACAGCAAGGACAGTTGCTGGATAACAGGTATTGACTCTCCCTTTCGATAAGTGGGGAAATGGAAGTGAAAACGAAGTCATGGATCCCAAGAGAATTGCAAAGTCCTTCTGGGAAAATTCCATTTGGTTTCCAGGCCTGGAAATAATGTCCTGAGATTCTTTCTTTTACCCTCTAGTGCTCTCACTGTACCCTCTGAGCCATACTCCCTGTATGTAAAAGGTAGCATGCCTTCCAAGCTGAGTGGTTTTATTGGCCAGTTTCTTGCTTGTAGAATTGTGGGGTCCAACCATCTTCTTTCATTCTACCCCCTTCTCTGTCCCTTTTATTTCAAGATGGCGGTGTTTCCTCAAGGTCCAACAGAAAAGCAGACCCAGTAGAAGAAATATAAAGAGATTTGCTCAAGGAATTGGTTTATACTCTTGTAGAAAGAGGTTAGCAAGTCCAAAATCCACAGGACAGACCAAGAAGGCGAGGCTAAAACTTTGTGGCATGACTTAAAGCTTTCATCCACCGCACACTTTCTCACTTGGGAAACCTCAACTGTGCTGTGAAGACCTCTCAACTGACCGAATCCAGCCACTGAAATCATCTCCAGTTGTCTCCCTTGCTTAAAGACAACTGGTTACGAACTTCAATCATATCTACAGAATCACGACAATATCTAGATTTGTTTTTAGTTGGATAATTGGGGACTTGATGAGTCAATTCGATTCCTCAGAAGAACTATTATAGCGACTAATGTTCAAAATTGTCTTACTTCTAAAATCATTGTTCCACGGGAATATGGGGTCCTTTTTCTTTTTCTTTTTTTTTTTTTTTAACTTTTAATGGTGAAAGAACAAAGATTACAAATGTGGCCTGGTGGCAGTTTTTGAGGGAACGCCGCCCAGGCAAAGGTGAATATGAAGTTCAGTCTGATTTCTACCTGTTTGAGTTCAACACAATACACATAGAATAACATTCTGTATGGCTCCCAGGAATGGAATTGAGAATTAATGTAGGGAAGACGCACACATACAGAGACAGACTTCAGCTCCTTTATGAAAGAATATTCTGAAATCATTTTTTTGATTGTTGTGCCCCATGGGGCAATGGATGTGCCCAGCAGTGATTGGGGGCACTTGGTATTTTTGCTGTTCAGAAAATGCAAGCTTTCAGGGGATAATTGAGCCAAATAACTACTCCAATTCTGTCTTTGACAGTTCACAATTTTAATGGGGGAGAAAGAAATGAAATCTTCCTAAATCAGCCTTGAGTTTCATAGCAAAAGATACTTGAGGAACTAGAGTAATTTAAATTTCAGGAAATGCAGCCAAATTTTTCAAGATCATTTGAAAATATTTAAAGGGATAGAGAGTGTTTTGAAATATGTAGTGCCACAACATAACTGTATACTTTTTTTGTCTCTATCTATTTGGATGCATTACTTTGAGAAACAAGGCAATACAACCTAAATCTGTACAGCCTAGATATATCATTTCTTTACCAGTTTTTACTCTTTTTCTCAAAAAATTATAATTATCCACAGGCAATTTGTCAATTAAATATTTAAAGAATAATTTGGAATCTTAATTTTCTTTTCAAAAGGAAAAAGTCAGAAATTAGTATGGACTCCAGTGATTCATAATTTAAATTATTTAGAGATTAATTTGTAATTATTTTAAGCTTGCATTTCTCCTAAATTCTGTAAACAGTTGTGGATGAAGTGAATGTAGTATAATTGCCTCGAATGTTGAAGTGTAAATACATAGATTAAAAAAAAATGGGAAATATAAGGTAAGTTGTCTCATTATATGTTATCACAATAGTTTATCGGAAGAACTGTGTTTTGAGAAACTACATAAATTGGATACCGGCATGTTCTTGTTTTGGCAGTGGAATTAAAAGTAACAGTTAATTATTAGACTTTGCATCCGTATGTTTTCAGTAACGAAAAACTTCCCAGATCATTCTAGGTAAATGTTCAAAGCCAATGCCAGCAAATGCCTGTTTTCATTGCGCACTACGTGACTTATCAAGGAGCTTATCTAGAGAGTCTTTCAATCATGACACTAGTTTGACATAATACGAAAGGCATGGCATATTTAGTTACATGAATAGAGAGGAAGAAAGGGGGTAGGCTTCTGGAAATTCAAGCCTCCTCCAGTTTCCACTGTGTATCAGCCTTCCCCGTGTGTCTTTTAGAGTTTGCCCTTCACCAGGAGTGATCTTCTTCTGTCTTGGTTTTGGCAGCTGATGGATCACTTGAAGGCTGGAATTGAAGATGTGTGTGGGCACTGGAGCCACTACCAAGTGAGAGACAAGTAAGGCACTCAGGGTTTCTGCACCTAACAAAGCATGCTTGTGGCATTCCTGGGGACTTTCAAAGAGGACCAGGAAGCTAAAGGTCCCGGGAGCCATACCATGCAAGAAGCCCTTGGAAATCCCAGACATGTCATGCCTACAGCCTTAAGAGGCTGTAAACCTGGTTTAGGTTGCATCAGAGAGAACGAGTACTACTACCTATGAGTGGAAATTAGAAAAGTCATGTTTAAGTTTAAAACAAGGACAAGATCCCCCAGGATAAAAGCAGCTGAAGCATGGAATGACTGGCTTCAGGAGACTGTAGGAAGGGAGTTTGGTGAACCATTTAGGGATCCTGGGGCAGAGAATCCTCTATGGTGGTGGACATCTGAATGGAAGATCTTTCAGGGTCCTTCCTACATAATGATTCTTAAAAACCGCCAAAGTCCCTCTCCTCTGCCAGACCTCACACTTACGATCTCATTCTTTTTTTTCTGGAGATTTAGTCAGAAGAAGAAATAGCGCGGCTAGAGATTAGGGCTGTAAGTAAGTTGTGGGTCACTGGTAGCTAAAGCCGTGAGCATGGGTGAGGTTATTTTAAGCATATAAAGAGGGGATGCTGACGGAAGACAGACTGAGGACTCCTGATCATCTGGGGTTGGTAAGGAAAAGAAAGGAGGTGGCCAAGGAGGCTGGAAGGGAAGCAGGAGCGAGCTAGGATGTGGGAAGGAACCGCTGAGCCTATCAAGAGACACAGAGGCCGGCGGGGTGGGCCACAGCAGCCCCTGGAGTTGAATGGTACACGGTCAAGGTGGGCTTAGCCAGAAGAACGCCAGACAAGTCGTGAAAGTGGGGGTGAAGGTCGCTCTGAGTGTCGTGGTCACTTTCCTTTCACGGGGAGCTGATCACAGTGGACTGAAGAATTAACAGGAACTATGGCCTTTTATGAAAAAGGACAGAAAACCGTATGGTCAGGGTGGTGACCCAGTTGGAGCCAGAGTAGCCGTGGTCTGAGCCAAACCGATCCCCAAGTTTAGGAGTCAGATGGCCACACCTGGAGGGGACTTGACGGATGCCTCCCAGATCAGGAAACTAATCCCCAGACAATAAGCCAGCAGCGGGGGCAGATATGCTCCCCTCTAAAAAAAACATAAAGCAGCAGAAAAACTACTCTCTGAATGGGAATTGATGGGAAATGTTGAAAATTTCAACTCCAAACCAATGGGCCACTCCAAAGGCGCCACAGGCACTCAGAGTGGGCTGGACAGAGGTGATTAACAATAGTCAGCGGCCAGCAGTCTCTAGCCATTCCAGAGTCTCCGTCGTTCAGACTGTTTGGACATATGTGGGATTTTTTTTTTCTCTCCCTTAATTGTCAAGATCCAAAATTATCTGCGACATAATGGGGCAAAACTGCTATAAGTACAGGGACATTTACCCTTCCTGGGTTCTGGCTGAATAGGGCAGTATTATTGTAGGCACAGCAGCTGCTCTTAGGAGCTATTAGAATGGAACACTTGTTCAAAAGCCTCAGCTCCCTCATTTCTTCTCTTACAATTGACGCTCAGCTGGGCTGGGCCTCTCCCTCTCCTCTTATGCATACTTTTTGCCCTGTTTATGGCTTGTCCTTTTCTTTTTGTTTAGTTGATTTTTTCAATATATTCAGGGCAGTCGGCCATTCTTTCTTTATATAAAAAATGCAGAAGTACTATGAATGAAAAAACAAAAAAGTGTTCAAATGCTATGAATTTCAGTCATTGATGTTTTTTCAGAATGAAGTTAAATAGTAGTTTAAGAAAAATTTGTACTCAGACCACACATAGAGATTAAAGATTTCCAAAATGTTGTTTTTCGTTTTTAGGTTCAAAAAGTTTGATCATAGATATTTACGGAAAATCCTAATCCGAAAGAACCAGCCAAAATCAAGCATCGTTTCTTTGTACAAGAAGCTGGAAATGAAACAAGCTATTGAGATGGTCGAGACTGGGATTCTGAGTTCTACAGCTTTTTCCATATCCAATCAGTAAGACATATCTGTTTTTTTTTTTTTTTTGATCCAGACTTTCATTGTCCAAATTCCAGGGAGCACTAACTCATGGTTCTCTTTAGAGGTAATACTGGAGGGAAGAGGCAAAAAGATGAGTGTGTTAGTCAGCTTTCTGTTACTGTAACAAATGCCTGTGATAATTTGCTTATAAAGAGAAAAGGTTTTGGAGGTTTCAGTCCATGAATGATGGACTAAATTCCTTTTGAGCCTGTGGTGAAATGGCCCATTATGGCAGCAGTATATGGCCAAATGGTTTACCTCATGGCAGAGACTTAAAAGAGAGGAAGAGGTAGTAGTTGGGGTTCTAGGATCTCCTTCAAAGCCATGACCCCAAAGCCCTGAACACCTCACTTCTTAGAGGTTGCCAACCTCTTAATAGCGCCATAGTCTGTAGATGAAGCCTTTAATACATGGTCTTTTGGGACACTGATCCAAACCACAGCAGTGAGGACGAATCATACAAAACCAAGATTGAAATCTTGGTATGTTGTGGCTTAGTCCAGGGTCGATATATTTCACTTTGTTTTTCGAGAAAAATTACTTTCTAGCAAAATTGCCTCCTTAGGGGTTGGGGCTGTGGCTCAGTGGTAGAGCCCTCTCCTGCATGTGCTAGGCCCTGGGTTCGACCCTCAGCACCACATAAAAATAAATACATAAAATAAAGGTGTTGTGTCCAACTATAATTGAAAAATAAATATTTTTTTTAAAATGCCTTCTTATACAATATCTTCCTTTGGGAGGGAGCAAGTACATTTTTAGAATGGAAATGGGTGGTATAAGATTTTCTCTTTTTCTCTCTTGACTACCAGTCTCTATTCTTTAAACCCCGTTCATATGAATCTGCCCTTCTTACCACTGTGTTTCTTCTCCTTCCCATAAATCAGTTCCAGGTCTGGTGGCTGCATTCCTTTGGGCCTCTGGTGACAGTGGCACACCACAGCAAGGGTGCACGTGAAAGCGAGCGCTCACATCGCAAACCAATGAACAGAGAAAAGAAGAAACTGGGGTCTCACAAACCCCTTTGAGGCCACACCCTCAATAACCACCTATAAACCTCCAACTAGACCTTTTGAAAGAAGTCCTCAGGACTCTCCTTTTGTCAACACCCTGGCCTTCGGGTGACATTCATCCAAGCCCTAAAGGGTTGAGTGGTGGTCGCAAAGAGGTGTGCTGGTCAGTTGGCTGTCTAAAGAGAAAGCTGCATTGGCAGTTGTGCCTAAGGCCAAGGTCCGTGTGAGATTGTGAGACCAGCTTGGAGCAGGAGCAGGTCACGGGCTGGCTTCCTGGTGAAAAAGGACCGTAGGTAGCTGAGGTGGAGGCGGTGTGGGCAGAGGTGCTACCTGCGTATAAATCCATCATCACAGGATGATTTTTTTGAAACAAGGTCTTTCTCTTGGACCATGTGCTAACCCACGGTCCCAAGCGCTGGCTAGACATTTTAAAAATCTACTTTACCTCTCTGATATTTTAACGAGAGTTCCTTCAGTGTCACAGAATTAATTCACCTCCTGAAGATGTTCAGTTTTCTTCCAAGGAATGACGGATGAATTGGGAAAATTGATCACTTTGTATATTTAGGGAAAGGGACCCTAACCCCTCTATCCTGTCTCCAGCAGGTAAAAAAACACTTGACCATGAGGTCACTGACATTCTCACATTAGAAAAGCAAGTGGAGGGGAAAGCTAAAAATAGCTAGCCACAACACTGTCACTGAGGCTTGAGTGTGATTTCTCAGACAACACCTTCCTCCCTTACCTGCTAATGAATCAGAAACACCATTTCCTTCATACCATGGCCTGAGAAAAATCTAAACTAGATTCCCTGAGGATGGCAGTATAAACAGAAAGCTTTCTGCCTGAGTGAGATTGTTTCTGTGGCTTGTTTGTTTTTGTGGGTGCTTCTCATTGCACGGCTTTAAGGAAGCTTCTGATACTCAAAGGGGAAAGTGCTGACAAATATTTACTGGCAAAGCTGGACTGGGCCTGAGTGGAGCCGGAGGCAACAGGAAAAAAATCAGGAATGCTGATCCTGTTTTCATTGAAAATGTTGATACTTGATTCATTAAAGATTTTTTTTTCCTGCATTTTCTACAATATTGCATTCAGACCTCACTTAATGATTAGTTCCCCCTTACACTTGGTACCTTAGCTCCAGTGCTGCTTATTAAGCACCTATTGTGTACCTTGCATGGTAAAAGCAGACTGAGACCCTGCTCTTGTGGACACCATCCTCTAGCAGGGTCATGACATTTATTTTTTCCAAAAACTGTGCAATGTGCAATCATAAATGATAGGGAGCTCTGCTAGTACGTGAGAGGAGAGGTGAGCGAGCTGGCCTCCTGGCATGTGACCTGCTCACTGAAGGATGAACTGGAGTTAATGTAGGGGTAGGGGAGGGCTGGACAGCTCCAGGCAGTTAGACCATTAGCAACTTCCTCTATGGCTTTGCTCTCCATTTATGTGAGCACTTGGTCTAGGAATGTAGGGGCACTTACTTATCTCAAATGAGAATCAGTCTGTCATGTGCTAAAATGTATTTTGAGTCTCCGTATGATGTTGGCCATAAGCAACTGCCCCACCCCACCTTCAAGGGGATTTTAAACCAACTTTCTTTAGAGTCGCCTCCCAATCCCATTCCCCCGATTCAATTAATTCTTCAGATATTGATTCCAGATTAGTCAGGGAGTCTTACAGGTAAGAAATGTTCTTCTGCTACTCTATCCCCAACTAGCTAATTCACTGAGGTGAGAGAGGGGATTTTTTTTTTTAAAGCTGATATCTAATACAGGTTTAGATTTAAATTGCATTTATTTGATCTCATCAGAAATCTGTAGGACATCAAGCGAAAAGGAACTCCTCTCCTGAGATCAAAGCAGCTAATTTCTTCATAAACAAACCTTCAAACAATAATAGGAAAAGAAGTGTGTACTCAGCTCGCTTTTTAGTAATCTGTATGAGATGATAACAACAAAATGCTCATATATTTTTTTCTTTAGAAGTTTAAGCAATTGTTCTACAAAAGGTTCAGATTTTGAAATTCTGTGACCTTCAGGAGAATGTTACCACCGGGGTTGTCCACAGGACACTTCAGATGACACTGATTCTGGGAAACCCCATTGCCGCTCCGCTGTTCAAATATCAAACCTACTCTATGGAATAGGCAGAATGCATACTCTCATTATTATTTCATTATTATTTTACTCATGAGTGATAAGCTATTTGAAATTCTTAGAGGATAGAAGCTCAAAATGATTAAAAATGTCGAAGCTTTAGAAATACCTTGATTAATATCATAGGGGCATTAAAATATTTATAAATGTATTGCCATAACAGGACTGCAGCTCTACGGCCTCAACGTATTATATTTTAAAACTCCCAGGTAACTTTAACGTGTCATCTGTTTTTAAAGCATAAAATAGTTCCACTGTAGTTGAAGAACTTTTTAACTGACCCCACTTTGAAAGGAGTGCACCATTTCTGAATTCTTGTGGCAATTCTGGGATGTAGATTCTGATGTGATATTTCACTCCCAGAATTGAACGTGATGTTACAGGGAGTGAAGTCATCTGCTCATCCACGCTTCGTTTATTCTAAACACTAGTCATCCGGGTGGTCTCAATAAAATGACTCAAAAAAAAACCCCCAAAAACCTGAAGGTACCCTGGTGCACAGAGTAGCTGATGGTGTGTGGGTTGGCTTCCAGCCACACTCTTCCCATGGAATTCAGGGCTACACTATCAAAAGTTCATGTATTTTTCTAAACAGATCAGGATATCATATTTGATCTTTGGGAATTCATATTGGGGAATGGACATAAAATCTTCTAGATTCCAGTTGAATTAAAGCTACCTTTTATATTAGAATGGCATTTGAGAAAAAAAAAAAAAGAGTTAGTTGGGCTGGGGAGGTAACTTAGTGGTAGAGCACTTGGTTCAGAATGCATGAGGTCCTTAGTTCAATCCCCGGTGACAGACAGACAGACAAACAGACAGACAGACACACACACACACACACACACACACACACACGAAAGTGAAACTTGCATTCAAATACATCTGGATGGAGGTTTTCCTAGTTTGATTTTAGGAACCATGAGATTACCGCAGAACTGTTACTTAAGGTGATGGGTATTTCCTTTATGGACAATAAGTGAATTTTCCAGGGTCAAGAGTCTTAGAGTTTGTCACTTGAATCTTTTGACACAGACATCTTTGTTCCCTCAGTTTTTCTAAGGATCGTGTCTTTCCTGTGCTTGTGAGGTGAACATCTCAGGAATAATTTTATTAACAAAGTGTTATAGAGAAAAACAAAAAAGACCTCCAGGCAGCACCCCACTCACGTTAGCCACACCTGCACTGGCCACTGCGGCTTCTCACTGTGGAGTCCAGGAGAGGCCCTGCCTTTGGAGACACCCTGACTACTCATCCCAGCCCATGGCCTGAATGAGCTTAATCAAGTCCGCTCCTTCCCAAAGTGGCCAATTACACAGCGGGCAAAATGCCAGCATGACTCTATTGCTGTATCAAGTTCCACTTTACCATTTCCTTTATCGTTGTTTTTTTTTTTCCCTATCTGCCTGTTTTATTATGAACATAGAAAACGGAACTGTTTGGCTCACTGGTGTTTCTGTTGAGCCATAGGTTACACCCACCATAATGAAGGAATGTGTTCAGATTATGAGGGTGTGTGAGTGTACCTAATTCAAGATGAATTTTATTTGAAGGACATTTACACAGTAGGGTTGGTTCAAATGCCCTGATAATAATGTTTAGATCACCAAGGCTGGTAACGGAATATCAACAGAGGTGACATTTGCAGCTTTAGATTTCTCCCTATCTTAGTATAGGGAACCTCTGATTTCAATGATTCTTTGAAAGGGCATTAGTCAATATACAGATAGGATGGCTAAATAAAATCCTGGCATGAGGTCATGTCTGGTATCCAAGTCCTTTAAAATCTCCTTCCAATTGCATGTTACTTTTTAAATATCCTTACAATTTATGACCACATCGATACTAATGTTTGGGGGGAAAAATGCCTAACTATGGCCTGGATTGGAACTAATAATTACTCATCTCTGTGATCAATTAACCTAGAAACATATGAAAGCAGATATTAAAGCCATCGGTGCCCTTACGTATTTACTATAGCGGCAGCTAGAAGTAGCAAACATGGAGCCAAGTAACAATTAGGGTTCATAGAAAGATAGGAAGGAAGGTGGTGATATTAAAAGGAAGTCCTAGCTCGTACTTTCTTTTGCTTGCTTGCTTCCTTCCTTCAGTCAATACATACTACTCATGTAATAAAAAGTTTTGAAAAAATTACTGCCAGTAGATTGTAATCAAATACACTTGTCACATGAGGATTCTTCCCATAGCAAGGTTGTGACTTCAAATCCCCAGAGGACAATTGCTCATTGACTGCTAACCTGGGCATAACCTGGATTTTAAACTCTTTCGGGGATTCATAGTGCCCAGTGTCCCAAAGCAGACTGACCTTCATGGTGTGAAGAGTTTGATTCCCTTTGTTAAATGGGATTCTAGTTTCTTGAAGTATTCATTAACCAAGATAAAAATCCCTGAAGGTCCGATTCTAAGACAAATGTATCGATGCAGCTTTAATATTTCTCAGGTCAGCGCTACTCAGAATGTGTCATGTGGATGGTGTGGGTCTGTGAAATGTTTGTCACCCTGTCCATAATGAGATTAAATACAGAACTAACAAAGGTTCAAACTTTGAGTCATTTTATAAAACATTTGGATTGCATTTTACGGTATCATTTTCTATTAACTGATTTTTATTGTGTGTTGCAAACATGTTAATTCGTAACAGAGTGGCAGGGGAAAAATTACCCGGTTGTCACCTTAAACTCACATAAGAGCGCGGAGGAATTCTTTTTTGAAGCTTCAAGACATATATTCTGACATTTCAAATCAACTGATTAATACCAATAGAAAAACTTATGTAAAAGGGGGTTCTGAAACTCAGGGCCATCAATTGTATGGGGCGCCCTGGTGTTTATGTGGTATCTCTTGCCAAGGTGGGAGAATAATAATGTTCCTCTTTCTCTGATGGTGTTTCCAGGGCCCAGAGGATACAAGGAATCAAAAGACTTTCCCCTGAAGATGTGGAGTCCATGAGGGACATCCTGACTCGCAACATGTACCAAGTTCGACAAAGGGTGTGTATGAGTCCTCTGCCTCGTTGCTGTTGCCTGTCCTGGGAACCATGCCTTCAGGAACCCGCTCTTGTTCGCATGTCCTCTCTAAGGCAGCCACTTAGAACAAGTTCTCTCTGCTCAGTCTGGAGAACAGAGAGTTAATTGTCACGTTTCTGCTACAGAGTTGGCACCTGCAGCATGAAAAGAAATGCAAACCCAGTTGCTGTCTCTAGGGGTCAGGCTGCCCCAGCCTTGCAGCCTGGAGTTTTCCAGAACCAGCAGGTCTCCCTGTCCTCCAAGGGCAGAGAAGCAGTATTTCTGAGGGCAATGAATGAGGCAGTCCTAAGAACTTTTGGCTGAATTAAATGACAGGGATGCTGACATCATCCATTTAAGAGTTATTTTACTTTATCTTCAGAATTTGAAGACTTAATCGTCCATCCTGATTCTTGGGTAGGATCGTAATAACCACATATGTCCACTCTGAGGGCCTTCATCTTTCTTTATAGATGATAATCTTCATTGAATAAAAAAAAAATCATAAAATCAAAGCTCTTCATTTTCAAGTAGAAGGCACAAAAATGAGTGAAGTTGATGGTCTGACTTATGAAAGGTCCCCAAACCAATCCAAGTTCGGAGCTAAGGTCTTCTGACCTCCTGCCCCATGCTCTTTCCGTGACCTCAGACTTACAAGCCAGTAAAAGTGAAGGTCTTCTGGCCTCCTGTTTCCATGACGAGGGGCTGTGTCAGCGAAAGGCTGCACCCCAGCTGAGGAACGGAATATAGGTCTCCATCAAGAGAGCTGCTTGAATTCCACTGCCTTCAGATCTTTCCAAGTGAAACTGTTGCAGTAAGACAATCGCGTCCTGCCTTAGATCAATAGATAAGAACTTCCTCCTAGTGAGAGCCAAAGGGTGTATAGAAGCACCACCAGATACCTGGTGCCCAGCTTCCCCCGCACGTTGATGAATCGATGGAGAAATGGAAGTGGGGACCCTGAATTCCAACCCATCCTCTTCACTTGGGGCAGGATCCCAGACAGACCCCTTCCTTCTTTTTTAAAATTTCCTCCTCCATCTGGCCTCCGGAGTTCTCCCTTTTAATTGAAGTGGCATCTTTCTTCCTTATCCCCCCCCCCCAATTTGAGTGCACTGACTGCTTTTCACTTACAGGATTTAGACATGAGCACCATGGGAATCCAATGAGGAAAACATAATTGATCAACAGGGAGGTGACAGCTAGGAGATTGCTTTGGGCCTTCTCTTTCAGTACTTTGGTGAGTGAGGCTCACCAATCCCACTCCTTCTTGTCTTTACTTTCTGACTCCAGCTTTACCAGGGTCACGAGAGTCTTCTCTTCTACATGGTTTTATTATCATTATTATTATTATTATTATTATCATTATTATTATTATTATCATTATTATTATTAGTTTGTTCTTTTGAAGGGAAAATCATTGTAGAAATGCAACCCAGGACAACTGTACTTTGTCTAGTAAGAAATCTACATTTTTGCGGAGGGATATAAAGAATAGGTAGCAGCCCTCTGAGGTCCTCCAGGCTGGGTGACAGGTCCAGGCCTGGTGATGGGAGTGCTCCTCACTGTCCAGGTCTTGGAAGAGTCTGTCCTGGGAGTTAGGAGTCATTTGGGGGCAGCTTCAGAACGAATGCAGGAGTTCGCTCTAGGTGATCGTCAGACACGGTTGACCTGGGCTGTATCTCCAGCCGACACCTGTTTGAAGTCTGTCCCTCTGGCACGTTCAGGATGGAATCTACCTGAGCAGGGAAGTGGAGAGACCTCTGGAAATTCCCAGTGGGACCACCACCCAGGAAGCTCTCAGGAATGCAAGGGAATGGAATTTGAAAAACACTTCTTCCAAATATCTGAGAGAAGCACCTCCTTGGACTTAAGGACAGATCAAAAGTTGATCTGCAGTTCCTGGGGTGGCCTATGGGGTCAGGTTACTTTCAGAGTTTCTGCATATTTTTTTTTTTTTAAAGGATCACAGCCATTTGTTCAATCTCTGTTCTGTACGGCAGATAAAGTTTAGACACATCTGTAATGGGCCAGGCATTAGGAACACTGAACTGAATAAGACAGAGCTCTTTCTCTCATTTAGGACTCAAGGTTTAATGGGAAATTTAGGATTTTAACCAGTTACCATCAGCTTCACAAGAGGGCAGAAATGGAGGAAGAAGAAGGAAAAAACTGGCATGTATATTATATGCATAGAAATTCTGTGATCCCTGCAGAAGACCAAATAGACAAGGCTCATGGTGGGTGAGGCAGAATAGAAGAGCAATGTTCAAATGTTGAAGTGCAGCTTCCTCCTAGGTCTGGGCATAGGAATTCCTAGTAGGAACATATGTATATACACAAAGATATATACAAGTACATGGATGCTGAATTCAAGTTTGTATGACTTTAGCATGGATGGAAAATTATAGAACTTTGTCTCAATGTTTTGGAGTCTGAATGTTTGAATACTTTTTTCTGTTAGGGTCCATATCATTATGTTTTATATTTCAGTGTATAAAATGCTCTTAGGTTCAGGTCTGTTCTTAAAGGTGATGGCTAAGAATCCATATTTTCAATTGTCATCACAATTCAATATTTTGGCCAAATTCTTGTTAGATTAGTTAGCTTATCCAAAGTGGCTGATAAAGAGCGTCTATAGGGAGAGGAGCAAAGTCAACTTTTCCCCTTGTTCCCTTGGCCTTCAGTTTGTACCTGGCCCTGTGGAAATCCTTACAGATAATCATCTATTTTGTGAGGTTTCGTCCAGTTAAGAGATAATTAAAACCACAAGTCTACTCAACCAGCTGCATATCCACTAACACACAAATAAGAAACTGAAAACCAATAGAACGCGTGCACGGGGACACTGTCGCCAAACTCTCCCCACTAGGGACACTATTTTCTGTTTTGGCAGGAAACTTGACTATCCCCTTCTGGATGAATTGAGGGCCCACTATAAACCCATGCATTAAGTTCCAGTGAGACTTAATCCCTTTTGTACGTTTTAGATAAAAACCAACAGAAATGGAGGCATCCGTATTTTCTTTCTGCACCCCGGGTATCACCTGGTGGTACCCTGGAGTGGGTACACCCCACCTAAAGGACGCAAGGTCTGCAGGATCAAGTCTCCGCTCCTTGAGAGGCTCTTGGTGGCCTGTCCCACCCCTGTCACCCCTGAAGTCTTGTCTCTCACTACTCTTGGAGTGATGCACTTGGTTCTCAGGGTCACAAACCATTTCCTTCTCTTTTCCAGTAGCCCCTCTACTTCTCCCTCCAAGTCTGTTCATGGCTCTTGTCATACATAGGCCCTGTGTTCTTTCTTTCTAGAACTTCCTCCTAGGATAACACTCTCTCATCTTTCAATGCATGCCCTAGAGCCCTAGAGCCATGAACCTGTCACATCCAAGCCTCATCAAGCACCTATGGCCTGTACTCTATGAATCCCAGGTGATCCCAACCATGGGTCACTTACACAGGCACATAGCATTATATCCTCGTCAACTTGATTCCTCCAGAGACTGGAAGCCTTCTAAAGCCCAGGATCCTAATCCTTATTTACATTTTGATACAAGAGATTGAACCCAGGGGTGCTAACCACTGAGCCACATCCCCAGCCACACCTTTTTTTTTTTTTTTTTTTTTAATTATGAGATAGCATTTTGCCAAGTTGCTTAGGGCCTTGCTAAATTGCTGAGACTGGCTTTGAACTTGCAGGCCTACTGCCTTATCCTCCCTAGCTGCTGGGATTACAGGCGTGCCCTACCGTATCCGGCTTCCAATTCATGGGTAAAAGGCTATGCCTTCCGTGTCCCCTGGATGAGAGAGTGTCTGCTCTATTGCAGTTGAATTGATTATTCCTCTAGAGATAACACTTGCAGTCCCCATTCTATCATGCAGCAGGACTTTGTGGTTTATCAGTGCACACAGTATGTCACCAACTAGCCCCCCCAAAAATGGGCATGCACTGATGAACCTCAAGGTAGCAGCAAGGGAGAAAAGGAGTCTCAGCTGTGAGTATTGCAAACATCTGTTTAAGCACCAATGTTGGCCTCCGATCCCTGACAAATATTTCCTGGTCTTGGGTAAGAAACAAAGAAGAAATTTATCATGAAGATAAATTGACTGAATTTGAAGGACTGTGCTCTTTTTTGTTGTGGTTGTTTTAAATGTTTATTTTTTTTAGTTATAGGTGAACACAATATCTTTATTTTACTTTTATGTGGTGCTGAGGATCAAACCCAGTGCCTCACGCATGTGAGGTGAGCGCTCTCCCTCTCAGCCACAACTGCAGCCCTGTTCTTTATCTTAGAGTATGTTTTTCCTACTAATTTTGGTTAAAAGATCTCTTCCTTCCTGAATTTATGATAATAGTGATTGGTAGAAATTATTTGATCTTGGGGGGGGTATTTTTCCATAATTGGCAAAACTTTTTAAAAATAGCAACCTTCTAGAAATTTCTAAAGTAGTACTGATATCTTTTTTTATCTATGAAATTCAAATGCCTATGAACCACTGGCCCAGCACAATAAGATAAAATAAAATTAAAATATGCACACACATGCCCACACAACCTGAGAGAGAGAAAGCATGCCTGGGGCAGCCAGGTCTGAGGGTACCTCAGGTTAGAACAGCTGAGAAAGGCTTGGATGCAGTCTAAGCTCTGCCCCCAAGACGGTAACCACAGGTTACAGATTTTTCTCAGGGCCCAGGCTTGCTTCCCTGCAAGGGAAGCAATTCTCGGCCAAGCTTCTCTGTGCCTACCTGCTCTACCTGCCTCAGGTGTGTGATGTGTCCGTGGCCTCCTGGGGCCGGAAATTGCACTGGAGAAGTTCTTACCTGTTGGATTTTCCATTCTCTCTTGCAGACCCCATCCTACAACAAATACAACCTCAAACCCCAAACAAGCGAGAAGCAGGCTAAAGAGATTCTCATCCGACGTCAGAACACCTTGAGAGAAAGCATGAGGAAAGGCCACAGCCTGCCCTGGGCCAAGCCGGTGCGTGGGGACCTTCCTTAGTCTGCAGATGTTAATCAGCTCCTCAGTTGAGCCACCATTGATACTGAAACTAACCTTGCTGCCAGGGAGGGACACCAAGCCACCTCTGCTTTCGGTCCAGGTGACCTGAGGCACCTGCCCATGAGGTTTATGGGAGTGAACTGCCCTCCACAGGAGTCAGTGACTGCCACATGGACCCTGTGCTGAGTGTCTAGACTCAGGCCCCACAGAGGCCAGATACTGAGCATGCCAGGGGTCCTCTTGGGACCAGAGCCTCTGGCCCTCCCAGGAGGACACAGGGAAGAGTTTGTTCTTGCTGAGACCCTGGGGCCTAATCTTCACATCCCCACTGCACCTAAGACCACATCAGACAATCTTTCTAGGATTTCTGGGTGGAATTGAGACTAAAATAGACCCTAACATGGATCCTAATCTCAGTGGGGTTGATGGGAATAAGATGCAGAGGTTCACTGTGGTCAGTTATAGGATAAAAAGGAAAAAATCTACATAGAGAAGATGGAAGTACTCTGCTATCTTCAAACAAAAGTGACGGAAAGCCAGTCATGGAACCCAGGTGCTGCAGGGTGGGTCTGTCCTCTGCTTTATTGGCTCTAGGAAGGTCTTAATTGCAAAAGCTCATTCCACTTTTTATTTCTACTTGTTACCCACAGGCTGGCACCAAAAACATCCGCTACCTCTCTGTTCCTTACAGCAACCTGCAGCTACCAGAGAGGGACACAAGAGCTCCCGAGTCCTCAGGTAACCTGCATGCATGGCCACTTTCTTTTCCTGTAGAGAGTCAGTTGGTAAATACAGTGGGATTTGCAGAACAGGAAGCAAAATCATGAATATTATGAGGGTACTTATGTGACAAGAAAAAGAAGAAAACTTGCTTTATAGATAAAATTCATAATTTGTTTATGGATACTGAGATTTTAATTTAACTTCATTTTTAATTTTTTTATGAACAATTATCTTCGTTTCATTCTTTTCCCAGCCATTTAAAAATTTGGCGATGATTTATAGCTCATGGTTCCCACAGAAAGAGACAGCAGACCAGATACAGACCCAGGGTAGTTGACCTCTGTTTTAAAGAAACCTAAAAGATGCATTTTACTGAAGTTGTGGGCCTCACCCACAGTTTAAATATGAGCAGAATTCTCCAAAGTTGCTTAATTTTTACTGAAATAACTTAAAATTTACTGATTAAAGATTTCCCTTAAGTGGAATTCTTAGAATTATTGAAGCTACTTATTATTCTAACAAAAGCCAAGTTGCTACTTAAAATGTGAATAAAATGATTTTCTATTAGTAAAAGGTGACATATGATATATACCATATGCTCTATTACGTATGTTGATTTTCCTAAAATATTAAGCCTTAAAATCATATTGGTACATGAATCTGTAACAACAAATCCCATTCATTATGTACAACTATAATGTATCAATAAAAAATGTAGAAAGAGAAAAATCATATTGAAAATTCAAGTAAACTAAGTTTCCAGGATTGTAGAATACATCTTTAAGAAGTAAATGCAATTATTATTTAAAGTGATAAATTCTCTAATTTAAAGAGATGCTTCTTGTAAAATAAAAGTCAAGCAGTATAGAAAATGCATAGTGAGGAAAGTTAAAAGCACTTGAAACCCTAACACCCAGATATAAGTGCCATAACCAATTTGGTTGGCATTCTTCCATTATTCTCTCTATGCCACCCTGACCCCTAGCTCAACCGTATCTGATTTAAAAAAAATTTACAAGAACACAGCATCATATTATACATAAAATCAAATATTAGTCATGCTTTGATATGTCATAAATTGTTGGTTTATTCAACAGTGTTGGAGACAGATTTCCATATCAATAGCTATGAATCTAGTACTCATTTTAATAACTAAATAATAGTTTTTAGAAGCATTACAGCTTATTCAGTTAATTTCTAATTAGTAACCAGTTAAGATATTTCTAATTTTTAATAACTAATAAACATTGATGTATTATAAGCACTTTATATCACTTGTGATTCACTTTTACATACATAACCAAATAGTTCCTTGCTGTAAGTAAAATTTTGAGGTCAAAAATCAAATACATTTAAATTTTTTTGTGTTATTTTATTTTTGATTGACACATTACAATTACAATTGTACATTACATACATTACCTAAACAATCATCCCAAACGATTATTTCACGAATCACAACAGTCTGTGAGAATGGTCTTTTCAAAACACCTTTATCATCACTGAGCTGTGTCAAATTTGTGAGCAATCTACATCTGGAAGGGTAAATTTTTTACGGTATATTTAATTTTCATATGAATCTCTGATCTTTAGCGAGGTTAAGTATCTTCCATATTTTTGGAGAGGACTGCCTTTCTTTGGGGAAATTTTCTGTGTCTGCCTTTGTCCATTTTTCCCCCCTTTGGTTGCTGATTTTTTTAACCCATTTTTGTCCCATTGTCCCAGATTTTAGAATCCCCATAAAAACTTAGTATCATTAAAAATATGTCACACAGTTATATGATAATAAGAATTTTAAAATCAGAATGTTAATTAATAAATAACATATCTATGCTTGCTATTATGATCTTCAATCTATTTGAATGCACTTTTGCAAATTGTGTTGAAATAGTCACAGAATTATAAAACTTGGGAATTGATGGGGTTAAATGAAATTGAAGAACTCTCTAAAAAAACAGATACACAAAACTAGGAAATGATTCCTGCATTTGTTTCCCATTGAGAACATTAATAGCTTATTTTTTACCATTTAAGGTTCAATCATTTGAAATTGACTTTGTGTGAGGACTAAGGTAGAGATACTTCAGATTGCTTCAATCTCAGCACCACGTTTCCTCCAAGATAACATGTGGCCTTTGTTTTACCGAAGTCGTGAGCCCTGCAGGGAGCTTTGGACACTCAATTCTGTTTCACTAATCTGGTTTTCTATTCCCAGACTACACTCTAGTACCTAGTATTATTTGATATTATCAAAGGGCTATCCCACAAACAAAGAGTAGAAAAAAAACAAAACAAAAAACAAAAAACAAAAACAAACCCATAAAAACCAAAAGAGCACCAAATATACAGCGTTTAATAGATTGACTTTAAAATAACTTCATGGTGCAAATAACCCAGTGCTATTTTTGTAATTTGTTTAAATAGAAAATAAAAAAGGCCTTACAGTTATTTCTTATGCGATGGACATCAGTATCACATGACTCTTAGTAGCAGAGACGACTACGGAGCAGACTTGAATTTTATCAATTAGGCTTCATAAGTTTTTAATAATTACCATGACAATCAAGGGAGGCGGAGGTCATGCTCAGTGGGCAGCGAGGCATGGCTGACCACTGGGACCCCCTCTTCTCTCCACACGTGCCGTCTTTCTGCAGCAGGAGGAGGTCGGGGACAACCTGAGGCCCGCTAGGGAGACCTCAGCCCTGACTCCTCCCTAGGAGGCCGTCCCTGCAGCAGCGAGCTGGAGACTCAGGGAATACTCCCCTTCCTAGCCCTTCCCGTGCCTCTAGCATCAGGGCATCCCTTGCTCTGACGTCTGCAGCTCCAAGCTGACGTGGGGGGCTCCACTCAATCTTCTGAGTTCCATTGGCCTTGGGGCTCACTGGGATTTCTAAGAAGAGAGGTCTCACCTTGAAACCCCGGGCGTGTCCTGAGGCTGCTGAAAACTCCTAGGAACCTGTGACCCGGGAATGTGAAAGACCTCTGGAGATGAGTGGTGGTGACGATTACGCAGAAAAATGATGACTCTCGATGCTGTTGTGCCGTACGCTAAAATGGTTATTCTAAACGATTAAAACGGTACATTTCTTGTTATGTGTATATATATTATTTATTTTGGGGAGGCTCCTGGGGATTGAACCCAGGGGCACCCAACCACCAAGCCATATATCCCCAGCCTTTATTTTTTTTTTAATTTTTTAATACCATTATTTTATTTATTTATTTTTATGTGGTGCTGAGGATTGAACCCAGGGCCTCGCACTTGCTAGGCAAGCAAGTGAGCGCTGAGCGCTGAGCCACAATCCCAGGCCCACCTTTAAAATTTTTATGAATTTTATTTATTTTTATTTAGAGACAGGGTCTCACTGAGTTGCTTAGGGCTTCACTAAACAGCTGAGGCTGGCTTTGAGCTTGCAATCCTCCTGCCTCAGCCTCACGAGCTGCTGGGATTACAGGCACGCGCCACCATGCCTGGAGATTTTCTTCTGCTGTTTTTCAATAAGGAGTGCCGGTGGGGTTGCCCTGAGTTTTTGTCACCTGGATGCGAGGTCTTAACTCTGATCAAGTCCTCTACCTCCTCCTTGTTCCATTTTCCTAGATGACCATGGGAGTGGCTCAGAATTCCCACCCATCACTTTCAGCGCACCCTCTCGGACAGGGATGCTCCAGGAAAGGCGACGGACACAAGAAACGATCCCGATGAGGAATTTACCCAGAGGAGGGACGGCATTGCACTTCGGTCACCACGAAGGGAACGGCAGCCATGAAGAGCTCGCTGGCAGAGGCAGGAGGGCCGCCGTCAGGCCCAGGCCTCTGTTCCATGCCGTGGATGAGGAATATGAATCTGGAGAGGAGGTGGAGGGTGCGGCCTCAGCTGCTGGAGCCAGATGGACAGCTGAGCAGGGACACAACAGGGGACACCATGAGTCCCAAAGTCCTTTGCTCCAAAGAAAATAGTTCTACAGTCCACAAGGTCACTTCTGTGATGTTCAAGGCCATCTTGCCTTTACTGTGAAGGGGTTTTCAGATTTCAGGAGACAGCTAATGAGTTTTTTTTTTTTTTAAGCTATTGGACACATGTCTATAGGAAGCAGAAGATTTTTTTTATAGGACTGGGAGCAAACCTGAAAGCTGAGCCATATCTTTGGCCAATGTCCGTTGCAGATGAATTCGTTGAGAGTGATAGAAATCCATTACCCCAGGAACTGGTCTCTAAGAATTTCCTAAGGACATCCTATGAAGACTACTTGATCTATGCTCTATATTGAGATGTCAGTGTGATTGGTCAGTAATCTAATTAACTATATGCATGTGTACCTTATAATCAAGGTAGAACTAAAGGGGCCTTTGAAGCCTCCTGGCTCAATCCCTGAGTTTTCAGATAAGGACACCTTGACCAAGGTCCCATAATGAGCTGTCCTTTCTCCCACGTGAAGGGATTCTGTTTTGATTTTGATATTCAATATACAATAATTACATTTCAAAGGAGAGGTGAAATCTGTTATAGTGTTGATGTACTTACTCGGTAATAGTGATAGGTATAGGATATGCACATTAACCTTTGAATAATGGATATGTCTATTTTATAATTAGAATATTGATTTAAAACAAAGATCAGAAACGCAATGGCTGCAAACAGTTTAATCACAATGACGTGAACAATGGGTATTTACTAGGAATACGTTGGTGGGGTGTGATATTTTGCTCTAGAGTTTGGAATTGTTCTTCAATTTAACTTGACCTTGACCTTGAGTCTCTTACTTCAGCTCACCACTTTTACCAGACTACTTTGTCTTTCCTCCTTGCTTCCTCTTCCTTTCTCCTTCCGTCTTTTCTGTTTGGCCACTGGTATTTAGGAAGCACTTTAAAGTGTTGAATAATGTGCCAAATGACCAGTGTGTGACAGGAAACTCAATGTCCTCCCACCATTACTGTTTTTGCCAACTGATTTAATCCTACGCATCTGTAGGATTAAATGCTCCCAGATCCCTAGACCTTCTTTGGGCCCCTAACCCCTAGGTGCCCTCTGTTCCTTTGTATATGTCAATAGAATGTACATCATCTGTGAATCGTGTTTGTACAGAGACACGAATAATACTGATTATGGTGGCCCATGGCTCAGTGGTCCAGGGAGCACGGTTTCTTCATGTTAACGACATCCATTTATCATCAGTTGTGACTTCTATTTCTTGGCGTTTTTTTCTCTTACCAGTTATGGGTGTCTCCAACGTGGTAGATGACTACACGGGGTGCTCATGATCACCCTGCAGAACTGGGAAGGGTGGAAAATGAGGCCCTGAGATGCTACATGTTGGCAGTTCAAGGTCTGCTTTCCCTGGAAAGGGAAAGGTCGTGCCGTCCAAGATGACCTGGGGACCCCTGTTCTCAACCAAGGACACGAGGCTCCACCCCAGACTTACTTTTGTGAGTGATTCCCCCGGGTTCCTGCTGCGGTGGTAGAAATAGCAATTAAGCCTGTTTGCCTCTCCTCTGAATCTGAAATAGGATGCTGCTTCTCCGTTATCAAAATGTGCTGATTTGAATAAAAAATGCACACTATCAAATGATAGTCATCAGTCCAAAGGGATAGAAGGACGAATAAAACTCAGGGATCTTTGTGCTTTTCTTTTTGTTTAAACAAACAAGCAATCAAAGCAACAAGAAAATTTAAAAGAAAAAAAAAAAAGCTTATTCTTCATGAGAGGAAAAACAGTGAGTCATTATCCTGAAACTACAGATGGAGCTAGAGGCAGAGAAGAGGCATCAGAGTCTCCTTTGCAAAGCTGCATGTAGAGCTGATTCTTAGGAGGGGGAGCACGTCTCTGCCCTCATACTGGATCCACTCGCGTGACAACAGAAATTTAAGGGCCCATTTCCCAGGATTAGTGAATGCATCAAACTCTCTTGAATTTCTCTCAGATATAGGTGCCATTAAGAAGAGGCGTGGTGGGAGATTTAATCGGTAAAAGCTTTTGGAAAAACTCCCTTGAGGAGCCAAGAATCACCTTCCATAGGCAGGAGGCAAACTGAGACTGAAGAGAAAGGCAGACCATCCAGGCTGGTAGACAAAGACTTAGGGAGAAACTTACATTTGGTATGTAAGTAGTCTGGAGAGTAGCAAGATAAGGAAGACCTCTACACGCGAAATGCACACTTGCCTTGCTTTTATTCTGTAGAATAGTTCCTCCCTTGATAAGGCAGACAGTGCCCCATTCTATACGGACTGTTTAGTTCTGTACATATAGAGAGAGGATAGTTTAATCTATAAAATAGGCCAAGTAAGAAATGAACAATAATGATGAATACAACAATTATAATAATGGATTGTAAAAAAAAAAATAGTTATCCGAAACCTATGAATCGCTTATTTCTGTAATTTTCCACACCATGTGTTTGGAGCACAGTGGAATGCAGGTGCCTGAGACTCTGGAATTGAGGGCAGGAAGACCACAGTACCATGAAAGGTAAAAGGAAACGTGGAAAAGGAAAAAGTCATCCATGGTCACATTCTTCATCTGTCTACCTCCCACTTTAAGGGGTTGGCTGGGACCTGGCACCTGGCTAACGTTCCCAAGAAGTGGTCTGGGGCAGCAGCCGTTATCTGGATCCTCTGGTCACTGTAGGCTCTAAATCAGCAATCAAGTAACCAGACTGCGTTTGAACAACAGAAACCACCATGAGCTCCTTCCCTGGGGCTGTTTCTATCCCCAGCCTGGCTGGCTGCCTCAACTGTCCCATCCTGGGAAGTAGCTCTGAAGCTTCTGCGTCAATGTGTGGGCCCCAGGGGTGCTGATGGCTCTGTCAGGCTCGGAGACCCCAGGGAAAATGGTCTCCTTGTCTGGACAGTTCATCATTGCTTCAAAGTAGTTTGATCTCATCTCTCTCCACACTGCTGATGACAGGTGCCCGAGGAAGGCGCTTGGTTTCACGTGGTGCATTTTCCCAACAGATCCAGGGCAGTGCAGCAAAGGGACTTCCTCTTGTGTGTTGAGCAAGACCCGTTCTTATTCCCTTCTCACCTCATGGAGGGAGGGAGTGAAATTGCTGGTTTCTGCCCCCACCCCACCCCCATACAGTCCACATTCCCGGCAAGTGGCTGCAAAAATATTGCCCTTCTATTTCCAATCTCGAAAGATCAGGTGCCCAACACCCAAAATCATGTCCCTCGATGAGTTTTTGTTTGGCTTGTAACTTTCCCAAACCTATTCATAGCGTTAGCCTGCCAGGTCTTGGGTTTCACTGGGTTCTAAAGCGGGGCAAAGTGCCATTGCTTTTTCTTGATCTCCTACAGCAGACTTCACCTTGAAGGTTTTCCACTTTTTCTGGTGCTAGGGATCCACTAAATGTTCTTATTCATCCTCCTCAAATCTGACGTGGTGCCTTGGGCACTCCTCCTGTCGCAAATCCACCTGCTAGAGGAAAAACTTTGACCACTGAAGGGAATCTGCTGCGGCAGGTGGAGGGTGAGAGTCCAGACGTGCTTCTGCCCCTCTCTCCTGAAAGTGTCTACTTCAAATCTGTCTTCTTAAGGGTCCTGAGAGCTAGGGATGGAATCGCCACCTGAATTCTGTGATAATGACCCTCTGATCTGAGGTGACAACCAAGGCAGGTGCATAGGAGGAGCTCCAGTCCTCAGCTGAGCTCGTTGGCTTCAGCCGACAAGGCAGTCCCGGAACACTTCTTCCCCACCTCCTCAGGTACTCGCTGCCATTGGGCAAAGTAAGTATCATCCCTAAGCTGAAATGTGCCAGTCGATAAAATAAGGTAATGATTATATCTACCTCCTGGAATTATTAGAGGATTAAATGAGATGATCTGTAATTTTTTTTTTTAGATTAGTGTTTATTTCAAAGCAAGAGTTTGATCACTTTGGTTGTAACTGTGTAAGCAAAAGAGCTACTGATTTCATGGCATGCGGAATTGTACATAGCCCAGGGTGGTGGCACATACCTGTTATCCCAGTGGCTTGGGAGGCTGAGGCCAGAGGATTGCATGTTCAAGGTCAGCCTTGAAACTCTGCAAGACCCTGTTTCAAAATTAAAAACATTAAAAGTTAGGGATGTGGCTCAGTGGGTACGTACCCCTAGTACCAAAAAAAAAAATCCCTAGTACCCCTCCAACCCCCCAAAAAGTAAAGAAGAGTTGTAAGTAACTGAAATCTGAGAAATAATTCGATTGAAAGAATAGAGGATACTCAAGGGGACTAAGGGAAGAATGTCACAGAAATAGAGAGCAATGAAAGACAAGAACGCGACTTCATCTGAACATGCCTCACCCAGAACCCATCAATCAAGAGCAAAACCAGAGACAAGATCTGAATACGAGTTCACATTTTCCAATCAAGCACAATCTCATCTCATCTTGCTTATTTTTGTGTCATGACCTCAAAATTATTGCATTTTCCTGTTTGGGAGACAGTTATCCTGGGGTAAAATTCTAATCTTGATTTATTTTCAAAAGACCATGAATTTATAGGCCCTTCATCTACGTATCATATGGATAGTCAGTGGCCACAAGGGGAATTTTCTCTTTGTTGGAAAAAAATCTCAGTGGGGTTTAATTCCTTAGCTCAAATTTCTTTTCTATAAGAGAACTCCCCTCCAAAACAAGTGACTCTCTCGATTTAAAAATATCGACTAGAGAGATGAGTGCTTAAATGTTTTCAATATAGAAAAAAAATAGTTTCTAGTGTACTTTACAATGCTCAGAAATTAAGCAAAGTAAATTCTTAAAGTCAGTGAGTGTGTTGGTGTTGTCTGAGTTTGATGCAAATATATTTTATCCACAAATAAACCAGTTGATTTCTTGTAGTTTTCAATTTGCTTTCCTGAGAGTAAACTCTGTCAAATATCTTATTTCTAAATCCTCCTGAAGAAACCCAGCAGTGCAGACAGACAGCTGCCATGGAGGACACCAGTCACTGCTAATTGCTAATGGGGCCAGAAGTGAAAGGGAATAAAAGAGATGCCTGAAAAATGCTTGTCCCTCCTGTAATTAGCAAGGGATGTGCTCTTTCATCTGTGCACAGTAATTGGCTTGATAAATGCATTTTCTTTCTGAGACTCTAATGAGCTGCTAAGCCAGGGGTGCTCCAGTAAGTATGGCTGGTTAGAAATCAAACTTTCCTTTGCCTTTTTCATAACCTTTTTCAGGTTAGCATGCATTCCACAAAATAACTAAAACCTTGTAACTACACCAAGAGGGTCCATACTGCCCATTTCCAGACACAGACTTGCAGATCTTAAATCGGGATGGATGGTCCTCAAGCCAAGGTGTTCACTAGGACACACTTTGAAATAAGTTTTGAATAACATAGTCATAGACAACACGTATCAAGTCCTTTCTAATGCCAGCCACTATTCAAAATGCTTTATACTTGAAGATGCCAGAATCATCACATCTTAAAGGACAGGAGACAGATTGGGAAGGCGGGGTGTTAAGGAACAATGTCTCTCCGTTCCCAGGAAGACCTTGGACACCAGATCTGTCTTGGTGGACACTTTCCAACCTGCACCTCTTCCCTGAGTAGAACTGGGAATTTAAGAAGCGACTTGGGTCCACATGGTGAGAGTGTTCTTACTTGTGAGTTCTTCTTCTCCAGGAGGAAGAAACAGGCTAGCTCCATTGTGCTCAAAGAGAACTTTGCCTTAAAAGGAATAAATTAATACTATGAATGCCGTCATTCTGAAAATCTGAAAAATATGGCTTATTAGATCATGAGCAAGATTGACATTGTGAGTCATTAATTTTTTTTTGTCGAGAACCCAGCAAATATTGGGGGTCTGATTTTGAAATTGAGTTTCTTTTTTAATTTCATTCAGCTGTCTCTTTCAAAGAAACTTTTCCTGAGTTCCCAAATGAACCCCTGACCTGACAAGCTCCAAACTCTAGGACGTTCTAGAGCACCAAAGTGTGTTAGGTACCTATGGTGGAAATGTAAACCAGCACTCCCACAGGAAGGGTGGGAGGGGACAGAGAAGGGCTTTGCCTCCGGAAGCATTTGTGTGCTATTTTTTTTTTTTAAAGAGTTTATGTTCCTGGTAAGCGCGATATCACTAATTGAAAACATACACTCAAAAAAATTAAGGCAAATTTGAAGATCTTAATCGGCTTCTATTTGTGATTCTGTATTCAGCAGCACTTCACTCTATAAAATAGAACAAATGTTCAATAAGCTAAGCAGGGGAGGTGGCTTTGTGGACAGAAAAGAGCCGAGGAAAGAGGATCGGTCATTTCAAAGTTACTTTCCTTATAGAAGTGAAAGCAGAGGGGGTCGCTTACTGTGCCAGCTAAACCAGCCTTTCGGGGGACCTGGCTATCAGCTCTTTCTTGATTTCTCCAGAAGTGAGATAAACAACTGAGTTTCGGCTTGGTGACATGGAGTGTCAGAATGAGTCACTGAATCCACTTGGGCTGGGTCTCATGTGCCTAATGTGGGAGGGAGCTCAGTCCAAACCCATGTCCTTCAATGTTCTCAGCACTTTACTAAGAAGTCCCTTTATGTGCTTTAAAAATGTAATTCTCATAACAATCTTAAGAAATAGTTACTATGACTATCATACCCATTTTACAGATGAAGAAATTCCACTCTCAGAACTAGGTTTTAAACAAGGACACACAACTATTAAAAGGCAATACCCATTAGATCTGTGGACTCCAAGGCCATCCATACTATCCACTAGGCTGTAGGAGTACCTTCATGGCTACGCTAAAGAAAACACTGAGTAACTTAAGAAAATACACATCCATAGTCTTGGCACCACCATTTGAACTCTAAACATCACTAAATTGGGTACTATTTTAGGCTTTGTTTTTCTAATGCTAATACTGCCCCCCCCTGAAGTTCCTGATGCTTTTACCTCATGTTGGGGGTCTCTCTGAAGCTAATGGTGGCCCTGGCCAATCATTCATTTAGGAGCCTCCATCTATAATTAAGTGTAGAGAATGGAGAACGGGAGATATCCTTCCATTGATTTTTAATGTTTCCATATTTTTATTCCCACTGGATTCTACCTCTGGGCCATGGAAAACTGTTAGAAATCAAGTCAGTTTGTGACTTTTAATAAGGGGGTCCCCAGCAACGTGGCCCTGGGTCAGCCTCAAAGGAAGGCAGGCCTCACCGTGGTTCATGTATTTTGTTTCCTTACCGGAGTTTCTGGGTAACTAAGAGCAGGTGAAACTGACGCTGGTTTCGCTGCTGGTGTCCTGTTTCCCTCAGAAAGGCTGCCCTTGTTTTGAATTTGAACTTGCCCTGGGCCTGGATCAGGAGGCAGCTCTGTTATCTGACTATGCCATCTCTAAGGGGGCTGAGTGCACAGAGGGGAGGGAGGATGTGGGTGAAGTCCCAAAGGCACAAGTTAAACAGCTATTCAGAAAGAGAAAAGGAGAATCAGTGTTTTGTTTTCCAAAAAGAAATCTTCTTAAAGGGGAGGCGGGTAACAAAAGGATATGTCCTCGCCCAGGAACACGCCCACCTGTGGGAGAGTCACAGAACCACCATGGAACCCAGTGGTGAAAACCAGCAGCCCAAGAACACAGGGCTTAGCAAACAATGCTTGCTGCACCGCACCCACAGCCCTGGAGCTGAAGTCCAAGTGCTGAATGTAGACCATGCAGCTGGGATTTTTGCAGTTTCACTCCACAACACATGGAGTTTCAGGCAGCTCCCTGGATAAATATTAAAAGAAAGAAATTGAAAGTTTGAAAGGTAAACCACATCCCCGGTCTACTGGGTAATTAAATTCTTCCAGGAAGAATGAGCATAAAATAAGTTATTTGGGTGCAACTCCCAAGAGGGTTAGTTCCACAGTGACTTGAGGCGGCGAGATGAATTTGTTAGAGAAGAAAAGGTAAATTGTAGTTAACACCAAGCCTTTCCTGGTATTCAGAAGAGTTCAGGAAACGTTCATACATCAGAATATAATTCCGCATTTGAGACATTCTTTGGAAGTCTTAGTGTGTATTTCCCTGTGTTCTCATGTAGATTATAACTCTTCAAATGCCGTTTATAAAGAAAGCCCTGGAAAACTGTCTCGAAAGAATAAAACGTGTCCCAGGAAGTCCTTAGATGTGAGTCTCTTAGATCAATGGTTAAATCTGGGGTTCTTGTTTCAGGGTCCATACTTGCAGGTGTCTAACTTCCTTCCAGCATTAGAGTAAGATGTGCATCTCACCAAGGGATGATGCAGCCTCCTCCTTCAGAAGAGTGAGATATAAGAATTCAGAGTCGGAAGGTAAAGATCGGGGCACGGGTGCTATCCCCTGTGAGTTGTGTGATACTGACCAAGCCCATTATGAAAGAGTTTGAGGAGGAAGGACAAGTGACGGAGAGGTGAAGTACAGAGTCAGGGACACCTGAGTTTGAATGCTACTGTGGCTTTATAAAACTTGGGCCACTGGTTCAATTCTTCCAAGCAGCGGGCACAGTTTAGCATGGAGTTTAGTGCACGGTGAATTTCAGTTCTAACCGTAGTGATGGTTTGAGATAGTCTGTGGTCAGAGGGGTGTGAAAGAAAAAAAAAATTATTCAGTGACACTGGTTAACACATGACAAGTAAGACTTTGCTCAGGACCACACTGGTCGGAATAGAGGCCACTGTAGTGGGCTGTTAGAGGGAGGAGAGAGAGAGAGATTGGGCTCAACTCAGAAGAGAGAGAGATTGGGCTCAACTCAGAATATAGCCTGGGCAGGTGACAATGA